ATGGGTGTTATAAAAGAGTTGATTAGCTGGTCGAGAGGAGAGTTGGAGTCAGCTGGCTGTGTTGTGAGGAGTAAGGATCAGGCGGTCATGCAAGGAACAGTAAGGGCTCGTGTGTGCTGCAAGGGACAGGAAGGTTTAGGTGGTCATTGCTAGGGACAGAAAGAAGTCAGCTGGCCATACAGAAGGAAGAGAAAAGGAGTCAGTGTTGTGAGGACCTACCCATGAGAACTCACAGAGAGAAGGTATGAAATTTTTACAGCAGGATGAATAAACTGATGGTGACAGTCAGTTCCCATCCACCGTCATTTGGTGCTAAGCACTGATGCTGACATAGGTGAGATAAGATAATACGAAAACACAGAGCAGAAATAAGAACAGGTACCTCTGGCAAGTCCCTCTTAATAATACAATACCAATACTGAAAGAATATTACAGGAGGAAGGTGGAACTGGATAAAGTATCAGATCAGAATAAATGGAAGTCACCTGAGTTCAGATGGCATAAGCTAACCAAGTAAACTTTCATCAGTATTAAAACAAAACATTTCCATATCAATTAATTGCACATGCAATCAAACTTTTACACATTTCCATACATGAGAACATTTACGTGCTGTCTTCAACTCAAATCAATCAGCAATGCAAGCCTCAATCTAAAATTAACTAATGGCTAAAAAGAGCAGCCTTAAAATATTAAACTTGGTCATTTATATTTATATTAGGGTCTTTGGGCCTTTGCTGAGTGTGAGTCATATTACAGTTGTTACCATTAAAAAATATTCAGTAATATTTTGTATTTGAGATTTGATAATCTCAAACCTCATTTGAGATTACCAAAGTCAGCAGGGTACTGTCTCTAAGTTTACAGCACCATGTTTCTTCTCTCCCCCTCAAAAACTGTGGAAAAAATAATCTATGCATTATTTTGTGTTGCAACTCCTTCCTATCCTTGTCATCTCCAATGCACTTAGTGACATGGCACTAATCAGCACAATATTTACCCTCTTATTACGCCAGTTACAAGCTGAGTACACTTCATATGTTGTGCAGTGAGGTGTATCAGTGGTACTTGCTAAGTGGGAATTGACAGTGACACCAAAATTATAGTCGTTTATCTTCATGTACATACTTATCAAAATTTTTTGTATCCACAGATGAATAGTCTCCTAGAAATGAAATAAAACCTGCCTTCTGCATTACTTCTGAGGCATTCTGCCATCTCAGTAGGATCTCTGACTCTCAAAATGCTTGCAGTGTCTAATAATTAGATTTGGAAAATACTTTGTCTTGCAGGCATCACGTTTTATTTTAGGGAGTATTTCCCTCCACAGTAGTGCTGTTGAAATTTTGAGTTAGGAGAGATACAAAAAGAGCATGTGGTGCGGGAGGCAATCCATAAAATGCTCCTTGGGGTGTGGAGTCTGCTTGGGAAGACAAAAGTGTTAGAAACTTCTCTTTTCTTGATGTGGAGTTGCAAAAGGAAATTAGCTCATTTGTAATTTCAGTCAGTCCCCCCATCCCAACACACAGACTCCATTAATAATCAGTTGAGAGAAAAGAGATCCAGCCTGCATGCCCACTCAAATAGAACGTGTACTTAATAATCCTGCTCATACAAGTCTCCCCAAACCTGGATGCCATGCCTCCAGAGACTCTGCTCTGGAAGTCTGTGCTGTAAGGATGCCATCACCCCCATGCATTCCACAAAAACCTTCCTGAGAAGAATACATTAGACTAGAAAGTTCCCTACATAAATAGACAATGTGATCTTGTATTAAAAGAGGCAAAATACTGTTCAAGTTTGCAAAAAGCACCTCTAATATGCAGATTCTAGCAGATGCTAGTGAAACCATCCATATTTTTGGATGTTACTGTTGTGGGTGCAAAGTTTCCATCTTTGAAGGTGTTCAGCATTTGATTCTGTGAGTGTAACGAGAAAAAATGGGCAAGAATATGCTGCTTTCATGTGGGGTGATTGGGCTTTGAGGGTTTATTTTGAGGTAATGAGGTAGTCTGTGTCTCATTGAGTGAAAAACTGGTATTTTAGTGCATTTATTAAGTAGTGTGTGTATGTGCATGCACCTGAGTGCATTTACTAAATTGTGTGTGTGTGTGTTTTATTATTTTTTTATGTTTTTTATAAATTGCAGGATACTAAACACTTTGGACCCTGCAATGCAAAGAGCAGACATAATCCTTAAATTCCGCCAAGTGTGGTATACTTAAGGAATGTTTTATATATTGCTTTTTTTTCATGCTGTATAAACCAAATACAAAGTAAGCTAAAACTAGTTTGCAGACAAACGAGACCAGGCAGTGAATATTCACTGATAGTCCAGATAAAAAGATATAAAATGGCTAGGACAAAATTCCAGAGACCATCAATCTTTCGGTCACCCACAGGGGTCAGAAAGTAATACATAACTGTTACTATCAGGTCTTAACATTGTGTTACTTGATAAATTCTGGGTGCTTTATTTATGCTGTTGCCCAGAACAGAGACTAGTGTTACTGTATGGATTCATGTTGCAACTTCTCTTCGTATTTAGAAAAGCAGGGAAAAGAGGTGGAAGACCTCTTACAGGAAAATAAAATAAACAATTATTGATTCCAGCAAATATAGTCAGCCTAATCTCTCCAGCTTTTCTCATTCTGTTCTATTTAATGCAGACAACTTTTGTTGCATAATTTTTTTTAAAATTTTGTTCATAATTGTGTATGTGGGTGCTCCTAGTATACTTAGATACATGAAAACTAGCTTAATCAAGTTTACTGGTAAATCTAAATCTACATATAACAACCACCCTGAAAAGCATGTATAAATAGGCACATTAACCAAAGTCCTAGACAAATCACAAATGTGTTGAAATAAGTAAGTAATATAATGAAACTAAAAATACAACTGCTTTAGATGGGAATTATATTCTTATGATCTTAAAATATCCCTCTAATTTGAACCATAATACCCCTAGTACACAAAGAAATCTAACTGCAGCAGATGTGTTAAATTCATGTAATGAAAAGAAGACCCTTTGAGGATCTGCCTATCACTGAGACGCATTTTCTTTACCCAGCCCAGCAGCCAATGTAAGTTTCAGCCATAACCAGCTCAAAGCAAAAAGTGAAAGTCAACCAGTGTTTGTAGCCAATTGTCTGAACAATAGACAGTCACCATGTGGGACAGCTCTTGAACGTCCTGTTCTTACAGGCTCAGCATGAAAGCTGCATGAAAGCCACATGAAAGCCAATAACTGGAGAGTGTGAAAATTTCTGCAAAGAAAAGCTAAATGTCAATAAACCTGGATGTCTTCTGTGGCATGTCAAATAGTGATCCACCTGGAAGTATTACAAAGGTTGACAACAAGTTCCTTTCTTCATGACAAATTAATCCTTGCTGTGCCAAATTTTTGCTTTCCCTCCTGATTTCAAGAGGAAAGAATCAGATACCTCTTATTTCACCAAGGCAAATACTTAGAACAGTTAATAAACAGTAACATTTTTAAGCACTAGTGAAATTCTTCTGTTTTGCTAAGAGGTTTGACCACAGAGGTCTGAGGACAAGGAGGAGAAGAGCTGGCAGCAGGTCATGTTTTTTCTGGTGTGTTTTGCTCCAGTGCAAAGCTCCCGTGGTATCAAAGGCCCATGAAAGGGCATTGCCATATGCATGGCACCACAAAAACATGCCTATACAAAGGTCTATTGCACCTAGCTCTGAAGATGACTGTTCACATGGCTCCATTTTCAAATGGGTCAAATGTACCTTTTAAAGAAAAGCCTGTACTTTCAAAGCTGTCAGTGTTGGTGCACACTATGACACTGGGAAGCTGTGCAGGACTTTCCTCCAAACAAAGCAGTTACATTCAGATAACATAGAATAAAGATGGTATTAATGAAACAACTTCCAGAAAATCAATACATTTACTTCAGGTGTTTGAAAGTTCACAAAAGAAAAAATATAAAACATAATTCTGTGTGGGAATTGCTGGTGCAAAGTGCATTGTATGCTCTCAGTAGTGTTTTAAAGTCACCTAAAGTGTCATTAGAGTGAAATGTTTGCATTTGAAATGGTCCTGTGTCATGTAAACCAAGGTAGCACAATCCAGGCTGCTGAAGTGACACCCATTTTCCTTAACCAGCCCCAGGATCCAGCCCTTCTCACTGCAGAAGGGAAGGCAGTTTGTGGGATGAGTCCTCAGTGGGTCCTTAGGATTTATATCCTGCTCCTGAGGGTGAGAAGGGAGACAAAGGCTGCTCAGCACAAAGAGTAACCCAGCTCCAATTTTTTCCGTTAAGTGTCAGGCATTCCTGCACTCATACAGTCTATGTCACTCATGGACCTTATATTTGTTTTTGCCCTCTACCATTCAAGCCAGCAGCAAGACTAATGCTCTTATAAGAGAAGTGGGCTGTGTTTGGGTGGGAAATGGGTTGTGGTGTATTTTAGTAATGTTAATGTGTGTCAAGACATTTATACATTTCACACAACCATTGCTCTTTGTGTGAAGACTGCAGTGTTAGTGCCCCACACTGTTCTATGCTTCTATGATTCCCATATTCTATGCACTATATACCCATGATTCAGTTAGTGAGGTATTTCTGTGCATTAATAATATTTTGGGAATGAAGGGGAAGAATGTAAAGTAACAAATCATAGTGTGCATGGGATTAGTCTAGATTTGAAGATAGTTCTATTCCTTGTCTTTTTCAGGTTGAAAATCTCCTTTTCTGGTTCTGAAAGGATATTTCTTTTATGCTTTTAAAAGTATGCCATAGATTTTGCTGAATACCTTAACTTAATTTTTTCTTAAGCAAATAAAATCCTTCAGGAGATTAATTAAATTCTCTAAATTTACTAGCTACTGGCTAGTAAAATTACTGTATATATGAAAAAATACGTACACACATTTATGCAGCATTTATATACATATGTATTATATATGGCCACAAAATATGTATGTATAATAGAATCACAGAATCACAGAATGTTTTGGGCTGGGAAGGACCTTAAAGACCATCTCATTTCAACCCTCTGCCATAGGCAGGGACTCCTTCCACTAGACCAGGTTGTTCTGAGCCCAGTTCAACAGGTCCTTGAACAATTCCAGGGGTGATGCAGCCACAGATTCTCTTGGCAACTCATGCCAGTGCCTTTTTACCTTCAAAGAGAAGAATTCATTCAGATTTTTTTTTTTTGTTGTGAGTTGTGTATCAGACATGAACAGTTAGCTCTGAAGAAATAATGCCATGTACTTACCGAAAGGGAGTGTTGCAATAGCTGTCTGCAATTCTCTGTAGAAAGACATTTTTGAGGGGAGTTATCAGTTCATGGGCAGCTGAGGATCAACTCTGCCTCCTCTGCAAAAGAGAACACATGATGTTGGAAACTTCAGAAATGTGTAGAGGCGTTTAGAATATTTTAAAATTCTTTGTGCTCTGTTGTGACATAGAAATCGCTAGAAACTGGGATATTTAATCAGGTAGCCAATGCTTTTGGTTTGAAGAAGGTTGATGATTCTGTATGCAACATGAACATCTGTCCTGGGTTGGTGCTGGTGCAGTGCCAGTGCACTCATGAAAATATATTTTTCTCAAATGGCTACTGTGAGATGTGACCAGACACAGCGCAGAGCAGACTCAAGCTTAGAAATAAAGAAAAAAACTTTATTAACCTACACTATAATAAAAGGAACACACAACATTCAGAATGAAACCTTCCAAAACATTCCTCCCCCCCCCCCCCCCCAATTTCCACCAAAGCACAGTGAGACAAAACCTTGGATTTTTGATCAAGTTACCACCTCTCAGATAACCAATTCTCAGTCCACCAGGGGAGAGAGGAGTCTTTCTTGTGCCATAGTCTTCTACAGGAAACACAGTTGAAACCTCTTATGTTTCCATGTCACACATGGCACCACCCGGAGAAAATCTGCCATTGTGACATCCTCCTTCCATTACAGTGCTCTCACCACCGTCCATGGACCAAAAGTGCCAATAGGGTTCCTTTTAAGGATGCTTTGCCAAGTACCAAAAAACAACAATTTCTCATTTTGGGACAACATTTTTTCCTCCCCTGGGGCTGAGGGTCTTGAGAACAGAGATCTTCTTCTTGCCTGAAGACAGAGGGCACCACCACACCCTCCTCATCTTTCTCTGTTCACTTCCCTCGTACACATGACATCACTACAGCCCGTCACTCTCACTCCTGCACCGGCAGTCACTGCAGCAGGTCACTCTCACTCCTGTCACTCTTGGCTCAAGCCATTGCATCTCCCTAAATGCAGTCTCTGTGTTACAGGGAAATTGGTTCAGTCTGTGGCTAAACAAGAAAATGTCCAGCCAAAAGCCACTCCATCATTTCCTCCCACCTAAGATTCTTTCCCATCTTCTGACATCTCAGGCCCCAGGCCATCTCTCTTCTCTTTCAGATCAAGGAGGATTAATGTTTCACCAATAGATCTGCATTGTGGGGAGAGTTAGCAAAGGTTGAACAGCAGATTGGTGCCTCCTTCCAAGTCATGTTCAAAAGCAGTTGTTCTAGAAGACTGAACTCTAGGTCCTTGTTTCCCTTTTCCCAAAAATCAGACCAGTTAGCTTGAAAATCCCACAGACACTGGTCATCTAACTGATTTCCTCTAAAGACAGAGATGGTATGTTTTCTTACAGGAGCTGCATTATAGGCAGAACTCAGTTCATACCAACATCTCACAGAGTATAGATACCCTTTTAGCTACCCCAAACTCATAGAAATATTGTTGGTCTCACCTCTCATCCCTGTTTTTTTTTGTTCTTTTTTTTCCCCCCATCTGATCCCGTTGACTGTAGTTTGTGCTTGGTAAACTCTGCCTCCATCTTTAGCCTATTTTGTTACTGAAGAGAATTATGATGCTTAAATTATTTGGAAGACAAGAAGGTTTTCCACACATCCATTTAAAATATCAGCCACAAAAATGCCTATGATATTACAGAAACACAAGATTTTTGTATAGGATTAAATAACAAATTTGGATGAACTTCACACACAGACAGAGAAGACTGACTGAATAAAGACACTAGAGAGATGCTTGAAATAGAGAGGACAAACTCCCCAGTGCCTGAAATCCCACATACTTTTCTAATTTGAAGCAGTAATTCCCAGCAGGATACTGATACATCCCATTAGCTATGCTATTCTCAGATGCATATCCTAGGATTTCTACAGCAATTTCCAGGCTTGAGTTCTCATGCCTACAATGAACTCTTGACATTGATAAACCAAGTAGAATAAGGGCTGAAAGGTTTCCAAAGCCTGAGCCCAAACAAGAAATCCAGGGGAAAGTGAGACTGTGATTTCAAAATGAAAGCATTTGTTGATTATCTTTCCAGGAAACTACTCTCTTTTGAAATAAATTTGTCTTTAGAGTTCAAACATCTAATTTTTTTCCTCCTTGGTTTAATTAGCAGAGATAGTTGAAGATACAGAGTGGAAAGAATGTAGCTCTAAGTGTCTTCAATCACTCTCCACAACACTGCTTTGAACCAAAGGAAAGTGGGTGCTTTCTCTTATGATTTCAGGTCAGCAGAAAGTTGCATGAGCAAGACAGAGCCAACTTTCCCCAAGAAGGAGTGGAACTGCACCAGTTCATCCCACAGAGCTACATGACAATCAACAAAATAATGTTTTTGCACTTGAGAATGTGCAACTTGATTGATAATATCTAATTTTACATGACTTTTAAGCAAAACTTACAGAAAGATAGGGAGACTTTTAAGGACCAATGGAAGAATGAAAAGCTGAATGAAGAAAATTGTGCTGCATATCATCTTGTCTTATACTGTTAACGCCAGCAGTCATAATCAAGAGTTTATTGTACAGGGCAATCTGGATGATTAGAAACTGGATTCAAGTTCATAAAAAACATCTTGACATAAAACTCTTTTATATTTCACCAATAATGCCAGGAGGCAAATTCATCCCCTCCCTCTGCAGCCTCTTTTAATTCAGTGGAATTATACCAGAGATAATTTTAGCCAAGTATTATCAGGATTCTTCAAAAGTTGTATTTCAAATAAATGTGCATTTGCAGAAATATATTTTGGAACAATGAAAGGTATCGATACTATCAACTTAGGTTGTTCCTTCCTCTAGCATTTGCATATTTTAAACTTAGAAGAAATAGAATTCAAACAGGGAAAAAACAAACAAAAAAAAACCCCAAAAAACAAACAACCCCCCCCCCAAAAAAAGAAACAAGCAAACAAAAAAGAAACAAGCCCCCAAAAAACCAAAACCAAACAAATAAAAAAAAAAAAAACCAAAACCAAAAAAAACCCACCAAAGCCCAAAAAGCATAACTATAGGGTCCAGTCAGGTTATTTTCATTCAATGTCCATTGCAATTATAGAAAGGCTCACTTTCCTGTTGTTACCTCCCTGAGACTTCTCAGGAGGACCATATCCATTTGTTCATTGAAATGAACAAGATATTGCTAGATATGTGGTCATGAAATTAACTGTCTGTGCTTTTAGAGACAGCATCAAGACACCTGGAACTTTTGTATTATTGTTCCATTCAGGAAGATTCCTACATGTCTTTTTCCTAAAGATTCTATTTCTTTTTCCCTTGAGTTTTTTTTCCCTGCTTCTTCTCATCAAACCCCCTTTCTCCCTTTGGCTTATTTTACTCTTTTTCTATCAGGATAATGTTCCCTGATCAGCTGAAACCCTCATTCCTGGTTTCTGCTTTTTCCCACCTTTGAAGTAAAATCCTTCTTTACAACTCCTTAAACCGTTTCCTGCTTTGGACTAAGGTGGTGGTGGTGGCTTTATCAAGTTGTCCAGTTCTATCATCTCTTTGTTGCTGCTACCAGTCAATTTAATATTTTTACCCTTTTGTGACAGGTAGATTATTAGTAGCAACTATTAGCTCATGATGAATTTGCTACTAGATAGTTTTTTAGGAACATTGCTGCTGCAGTTCCCCAGTTTAGTGAAACATTCAAGAATGAGGGAAAAGACTTGGTTTGCTATGATCCCATCAAAAAAGAAGCACAGAGGAAATAGATTTACACAAAAACTTGTGCCTCTGCTTCACAGGTCAATTATGTTTTGTGGTATGATATACATATCTCTTTGATATACATGTGGTTATCAAAGCCTTTGTGCTATAAATACTGCTGTATTAAAAGTATTTCATTATTTGAAAATGCATGTCATGTCTGGAGTAGTATATGGGTACTCTGTAACAATGAATAGCAACCTGATGTGACAAGACAGGAAAAGAAAAATACTTTGAGAAATATATTTAGAGTCCAACTTGATAATATTGAAAATTATGCCTGTGTACGCTCCTAGACCTGCAAATTTGGCATTATGTGGGATTTGCACAAGTTTGAAGTATCTTTCAGATTAAATGCCTGGGCCTGTAATATGATAAAAATCTCTCTGTGTCACTGTCACAAAGATACATCATATTTTTTTTTTTGCATTGAAATCTCCATTTTGTGAACAGTATTTACAGAAAACACAGATGAAGATTTGAATGGGTTGTGATACAGCACATCAGGAACTAGTTAAGCTAATTGTTTTGCAATCTGCAGGTTTACTCCTGTGAAAAGATCCCTAAGACTTTGGGTAGAAGATTAATCCCTGTGTGCTGGAGTCATTCCAAGTTCAGCTGTGCATGCGTGGATCATCTCTGTAGATTTAAGTGGATATACTACTTTTCACTTCACATCCTCAAAATGTTTTGTATTGTTTTTGATTCTAAGAAGCTGGTATGAACATCCCAATCCCAGAGATTTTATTACTTTAAGAAATAACTGTATTTCTACCAGTAAGCTTCAGAGATTCCACGGTGGAAATAACATGTGTATAAAACATATGCAAAACTGTGCCTCATGTTGCACTTTTGATGTATCCATTTATTAGCAAAATAAATTCATCATACTACTAACAAATCCATGATATCTTCAAGAAATTTGCAAATATTTTAATTTCTAAAAATTATTCCTTTTTACTATTTGAAGATTCAATGCCATCTTTCTTTATCTAGCTGATAAAGTAAATAGTGCAATAAAGAGGTGTGCTAGAACATATTCAAATCAGTGTTTTTTTCAGTGAAACGTTCATCTGGCCCACAAAACTATCTTAAGTCAGGAAGTAAAGTTATATGAAGAGCAGTCCTCAGGCTGCTGCTCTCATTCAGAGATAAAGCTCACCATGAACTAGGAACATTTCTTATAGTATACAGCCTGTACAGAACAACAGAATCATAAATGTCCCGCTGAGAAACTATGCACTGAATGCCACAGTACATCAGAAGTAGTAAATGTACCCTGTATATGCCCAAACTATTAAAATTCTTAACCTACCATCCCATCTACTGTGCAGACCCTCTATGCAGCTAATGAAGTTAAAATCTGAGATAGAATAGCCACTGAGAAGTCATAATGGTTGTGTCCAGGGTTTTTCTGGGTTTCACTGTGTTTCTGTAATGCTAGAAATATGAAGAAATTCTAAAAAAAAAAAATCAAAGGCTTCACTCAGGCTCATTCTTTATTTTAAGAGTTACAGTGACTGTTAAGATGGTCAATGGAGAAATTAGTCAGAAAATAGTGTACAAAGCCTAATAAGCAAACAAGATTTCCCTGCAGTTTATTTCTTCTTCTCTGTCTTAAACTAGTTGTTTAACAGTAGAGAGAATAAAGTAAGGGGAAGGAGGTGGAAAACAGGAGGGATATTAAAACTAGTTTTAATCACCTTTCAGCAACCTAGCCAGGAAAAGAGCAGCATATGCTGGTGCAGACTCAGCTGCTGAGAAGCACCCTGGCACATCTGCACACACCAGGAACCTATGATTCACAGCTTTGCGGCAAAGCTGACAAAACTCCAATATTCACTCCCATTTTCAAGACAAAAAACACTCCCATACATCAGTTTTTTATGACTCTTTAGGTCTTCCTCCTCTGCCAGG